TCTAAATTGTCTCCTTTCACCTCCTTTCCTACTTTCTAACAATGTTCTGTCGTCTGCTTTCGCCTCCACTTTCTGCCCCCATCCCCTCACCTCCTTTGCCCCCCCTCCTCTGGGCTCCTGACTCTTTCTGCAGCCTTTCTACTGTTACTCCCTGACTCCTTCTTACTGCTGTCTTTCAGCCACACCCCTGATCTTATGGTAGGAAAATATCTACACCTAGCCTTCTCGGACAAGGGCAAAAAATCTTGGATGTCCCGCTTGCAAGTTGCGAACGTTATTGTAAAGATCCCTTTTGTGGTCCAAAATCGATTTATAGAGTAGGCTTCGGCTGCCACCCGGACAAAATTCAAAATTTTCTACCAACGGAAGATATTGAATTAGAGGTTGGCGGGTGCTCTAGTGTGGTTTGCTTCTTCTTTCCTTTCTTTTAACATCTATCATCTTTATCTCCCCTTCTTCTTTTTTTGTGTTTGTTACTCTCTTGTAACACCTCTAATCTTATATTATGCTCTTAATGTGTTACAAGTGCCGTAAAACTCTTACAAAAACGAAACTCCCTAGGAATTCCTGACGAAATGAGAGAATTGGCCCGCACCTCCAAACCCAAGGTGGAAATCAGCAAAAACGGAAATGTATGGACCATCAAGACAACAGCCGGCGATAAGGTGAGATTGCAATCTATAGTGCGGTCTAAAATTCGTTGCGCAACTTATTGTTAAATATCTCCTCAACTATCGAACATAAACTCTCCAGCTTTTGCACAATGACTTGTATCAATTGTCTTAACAGATCAATATTTTTGTAAGCTCCTATTATTAGCTCTATTCTAAAAAATTCCTTAATAAATATTAATTTTTTTAATCCCTCTGGGTGGTTTCTACTTATTTAAAAAGGTTTACAGCTGGGATAATATCGCTTTTAAAAGCAAGCCCGTCACTTTTTTTTTTCTAATTGCGAGATTATTTTTATTGGACACATGTCGTGAGAACTTAATGCAAAAAACAACCTAGATATGGAGAAGAGCCAATAAAACAAAGCGGAAGTCGTTGGTAGAGGCTGTTTGTTTGTTGCTGTTTTTTGTGGAGGTTTTTTTGTGTTATTTTTGTTGGGGATGGGGGGTTCTTGTTTTTTGTTGTTGTTGTTTTTTTTTGTGTAAATGTTACTTTTGGGTTCCAGGTGTCGGAGACAAACTATCCTGTCGGTGAAGAAATTGAGACGATGACCTTGGTGGGCAAAACAGTTAAAGTAAGCTTTGAATGCTGTTGTGCCAAATGTATTTTGTAATGAGTAGCCTAATATGTGTACATAACATAAATAATTGTGAGTGTGTTTGTGTATGTGTGTGTGTGTGTGTCAGTGAGAGAGAGAGAGAGAGAGAGAGAGAGAGAGAGAGAGAGATAGTGTGTGTGTGTGTGTGTTTGTATGTGTGTGTGTGTGTGTGTTTGTGTGGGCAAAACAGTCAAAGTAAGCTTTGAATACTGTTGTGCCATATGTAGGCCTACCTTTAGAAATGAGTATTAATTGTGTATATAACATATAATTGTGTGTGTGTTTGTGTGTGTATGTGTTTGTGTGTGTGTGAGTGTGTGTGTGTGTATGTGTGTGTGTGTATGTATGTATGTGTGTGTGTTTTAGAGAGAGAGAGAGACAGAGAGAGAGAGAGAGAGACAGACAGAGAGAGGGACAGACAGAGAGAGGGACAGGGGGGAAGAGTGAGAGGTAGTGTGTGTATACGTGAGTGTATGTATGTGTGAGAGAGAAAGTGTTTGTGTGTGTATGTGTGTGTGCATGTGTGTGTACGTGTGTTTGTGTGTGTGTCTGTCTGTCTGTTCATGTGTCTTGTGCGTATTATATGAATATCATGTATTTTTAGATTTATATAAATGTGTGGGTGGATGAATAGATATCCAGACAGATGGATGAATGGATGAATTTCACAAAAAATATATGGCCTCAGATCTATTCTGTCCAAAGTACCCTCTTTACCTAAGCACGCTTAGGACGAAATAGTTCTGAGGCGACAATATTTCATATAAAGAGAAATCATATCCTTGATTGTTATGCTGTTTTATTATGTTTTGGGTAAAGTTGTTGAAATTTTTTTAAGTGTACATAGTATGAGGCACTTTTAACCAATTTTCCGCTCAACGAAGTAATAAACGTGGTACTTTTGTATTCTTTGTTTAGTAATTTAAGTAGCTCCTATTGTACGTTTAGTGAATTAACATCTGAATTGCTATACATGCATTATTATGAGGCACATTTACCGAATTTTCGTCAGAACGGAATAATAAAAGTAATACTTTTTCATTCTTTGTTTAGTTATTTAAGCCCCATCTAGTAGTGTTGTACATTTGATAACTGATCTCTTTTTTAAATTCGTCTTTTATACTATTTCTTCCAGGCACTTTTGAAGGAAACTGCAAATGGGTTAATAGAGACACAGAAGTCAGATGGTAGTGAAACTACCTTTGAGAGGGCTGTGGAGGATGGACATTTTATTTATGTAAGTGAAGTGAGAGGGAAACTCCACTTTTTAAATCATCGTCATTGTCATCATCATCATCATCATCATCATCATCATCATCATCATCATCATCATCATCATCATCATCATCACCATCGTCATCATCATTTCTATCTCTGTCATCCTCATCATCATCACCATCATTATCATCATCATCACTATCTCTTTCCTCCTCATCGTCATTCATCATCATCATCATCATCATCATCATCATCATCATCATCATCATCATCATCCATTCAAAGAATTCAGTTCTCTCTTCTCACAACTGAGAGCAAAGTTTCAATCTGGTATACAAATACACTAATTTGATAAGGTGATCCGAGATGTCGAAACAAAAATTGATATTTAATTTGTTAAACTGAAGAACTACGTGTATTCGCGGCCGGACGGTATCACATGAAGATTCAACATAACATGCAAGAAGATTTTATTTTCACCTCACTGAATCCTTTTTGGAAGTAGTAAGGGAGATAACACTGTTTATGCTACGAGTATAATATGAGTAAAGCATCGTTATATCCCTTGAACATATTTTCTTTCAGTGAGCAGTTTTTGTGGAGTGAAAGCCATTATTTGATACTTATTATATTATGATGGATACTTGCTTACGTATTTCAATGCCAAATATGAAAAAAATTCCAGAAAAAAATTGGATGATGAAAATCAGTTAATGATATTAAAACCCATCCGAATTATCTCATAAACCAAAAAAAACCCCAGATACAAATGGCTTTCAATTGCAAGCTTGTGCTGGTATCAAGTTCTTTGAGTGCACGGAGCTGTCACACTGAGTAATTGTTGTAGTTGAAAATATTTAACAACTCCTCAACCACAGTTTAGATCATTTAGGAGGCGGACTGCTTAGACCCATGTTAACCGGGGGGCTGCCTAGTTTGTCATAATTGGAGCACTTTAACACTGTAGTTGTAACTTAAGTTTTTTATTCTCTACCTTCAAATTGGTGGTGAAGTAATGTCAATTCAGCTTGTTGTTCAATATTTCTTCTTTTTTGTATGCAAATCAAAGCCAATTACTCTGCAAAATTTCAACAATGAATGTTCTTTCGTTAAAAATAATTGAAACATAAAATTCAATTCCTACCATCAATCAATCATTCATTTACTATTTTAGAGAGTGAGAGTGACAACTTTCATCATGCAGGGCACTGTCGATGCAGGGTGGGCGTGTGACAAACTGGTATGCTTCCTGTTAACCAATCCTAAGTAGGATTTTTTTAAACGCAGCATACAGATGGAGAAACTTAGTTTTCAAACTTTCCACGTCCAGCTTATATTATTATAAACCATAAAAAGTTTCCCGTCCTGCTTGCAAGCAATAATGAATTTCTGATCCAGCTTGTAAGCAAAATTTAGGGTCTTTTCGTCGTTATTGTTTTCCATTCGCTATTCAATGCTAAACCGCAATGAAAATATTGTGAAGCTACAAAGCTGTACATTCTCCTAAATGAATGCAGTGTGAAAAATAACTTACATCATGCACTGACCACCTACATCTGTTGTGCAATGGTTAGGCTATATAACACTTTACCATTGCGTGGAAAAGACATGAGTCCAATTCCTGCATCATCATCACCATCATTGCCTTTCTGACCCTGAACCAGAGTATAGGCCACTGACAAACTTTTTCCACCTTTCTCTATCCAAAGCTAGCCTCTTGATGTTATTCTATGTCTTCCCACTTATCTGGACATCAATTTCTGTGATTCTTCTCCAGGTTCCACGCAATCTTCTCCTCTATCTTTTACCCTGTGGATTCCAATCTAACATTTTCTTTGTTATGCAGCTGCCTGACTGCCTGAGAGCATGTCCAATCCATTGCCACCACCTACCTCTGACTGAGATCTGTCTTGTTTGCTTTAACACTTCCTTGTTGGTGACCCTGTCTGTCTCTCTGATCCTCAGTAGCTTCCTTAGACACTTGTTCAGGAAAACCTGGATCCTCTTTTTGCTAGTCTGAGATGCATTCCATGTCTCACATTCATACAACAGGACTGTCTTCACATTTGAATTTAAAATCCTCAGCTTTTGTTTGAAGTGAGATTACTCGGGTCTTCCAAATCCTATTTAAAGATATGAAAGCAGCCTGTGCTTTTCCAATGACGGACTTTATTTCAGCGCCTGTTCCTTCTTCTTTGTCAATTCCTGCATAAGGAAGTAAAAATTGTGTTCAAAAAGTCCGTCTAGAGACATATATCTTTTTATCAAAGCAAATGTGTAGTGCATGCCTTTCCCCCCACCCCCCCCCCCTCCCTCCCCAATCCCTTTGTGCCCTCTATCCCTCAGTCCCTTTAATAGATGTTGATAGAGACAAAGAAGCTAGCTATTTATCAATTTGATTTTGATTTTATTATTTCGTTTCAGAAAATGTCTGCCAAAGGAGTGCAAGCCAAAGTGAAATTTGTGAAAGGATGAAAAGAAAAAAATTCTTGCAGTGTTTTCAAAATGCATGTTAAGCTTTTTAAAGGATGAACTGTACATTACATTTTGCAATATAAACTTTAATGTCATTGTCTGTCATATTTATATCTCATTTTTCAGTTTGCATAGATTTCTAAAGGAAGCTATCAAATTTCTTAGGTTTTTTAAATCTAAAAATGTCCTGCTGGGATAGCCTACTTCAGGGTAGCCCAGTTTTGGATAGCTTATGAAATGTTGTAAAAGAGACATTTTAGGAGTAGCCCAAATACTAAGGTCTAGATATTTGAATATAATATATGTACTTATTTTGGAAGATCTTATGCTTTGTAAACAACATGTAGCCTACCACTGCCGCTGGCTGTCTTGAAGATTTCTCCAATAGCATTATTTTCTTTAGTTCTGTTTCTTTGGTTTCATCATTTGAAAAGAGGATTTCATTCAACAAGATTTATAAAGTAGGCCTACTAGCACACTCATAAAAATATGCATTCGCTGGTTCCTTTGTGTAAAGTCTGATATGGAAATGTGAATGAATTCAAAAAGAAGGTGTTCTAGTGAAGCAAAGGAAGTTTGATTAAAACGCACGCTCAGTAGATAAAGCAGAATTCTTTTCTGTCGCTTGTGCCTGTCTGTTAAAAGGGGCCTCATTAGACACGTGACACATATATAATAGTCCTTTCCTCAATTAGTCTGCAGTTAGCAATTACTTTTGCTTTGACATATATATATATATAAAATTCAAACTTAGTTCTCTAGTGGAACATTTCTGTTTGAAAGTAAGAAGATTATAGTTTTGTGTTTCTGGAGTAAGGAATAAAATGCCATTTCATTTTGCATTCTTATTCAGCCATTGCCTAGCTTACCTATATAAAATAATATAGCCCATGAAATGGGAGTATATTTTGTTGTGACTGCTACTTACATTGAATCAATGCTTTTGAAATCAAGAGATAGATCTGTAGTGAATTCTCGATGTTTGAAATAAACGGCTCCTAAATAACGTATATCATCATGAGACGCATGAGTGGATAAGATGCTGGGAGATTTAATAGGCAAAATTTTAGAATAAATCATATGCTCATCTGATAAGACACTCTAACTTTTTCATGACAAGCACCATCACCGAAAAGCTACCCTTTTTATTTCCAGAAAGCTAAAGTTAAAGAATTATAACACTGATGAATGTACAATTAAAGTGGTGTTTAAAAACTGTCGAAATTGTCAAAAATCCTCGTTGTCACCCCAAAAAAAAGGCTCATCATCATGACCTATCTCAATTACATCATCCCTGTCTCTTTATACAAGTCACAAACATTTGTGAATTTGTTCCTTTGGTTGGCCATCACTGGGTTTTCTGGGTCTAATTTTGTATCTAATGGATACAGGGAGACTTTAAATGTAAGCCTTGATTTTGAGGTAACAAGTTACATCCTGTACACAATGATACACTGAACCTCAATCTGAGAATGATGAGCACCTGACGTACACTAACAACAGTGATTCGTTAGCCATCGAAGCATTCTGTTTTTCTAGTTGTTTTTCATTTTTTTTATTTTTAGTGATTGTGAAAGATATCAGAAGAAACAAATGAATGTGGACTAACACTCAAAACAAAGGCAACTGTAAATGTCCTTGATTGTAATAAGAGAAGTATTAAAGACATGATTCTGTAATTTTGCTTATTTTCATAAACTTTTGCAAAAATCTTCAACTCTGTTACTTATTTTTTTACTTGGTTTGAGTATCATTTTTTTGTTCTTTTATAGTTGCTTTTGACATTTTGTTGTCGAGACTGCGATTTTTAAATAAAATCTTCTTTCTGCGAAGCACAAAAAAAATGTGTTATCAATAGAATATAATATGTGTATGTCATGATATGCTATCAGCCTTTTTGTTTGCTCATTTTATTTTTTAAATACAACGTTAGTAACTGCAAATGCCCCTTCGTTAAGTGGGCCTGATCTGCTTTTAAATCAAATTGTTAAATGGCATTATGGCAGCGCCAGTGCACGTAGCATCAAATTGGCCTCTGATTTGCTACATCAAATTTGACCTGAAAGTCCATGATAGTGCCTTGTGTATTCAGCATGCAGACAGAAGATCTGACCCTGCAGTGGGTACATACTTGATATTTTTCTATTTTTCTTCTTTGGTAAGTGTTTTATGGCGCCTGCATCTGCGTAAGGTCATATATGAGCGCGGGGGACACACCAAACATATTCAGTTGGTAGGAATTTTTTTCAATTTTGCCCAGGTACGGCCGAAGCCTACTCTTACCGATTTTAGACCACCAAGGGATCTTTATTGCACACGGGCCCTCCAAGACTTTTAGCCCTTGTCCGAGAAGGCTAGGTGTCGATCAGAGAGGGTTTACAGTAATACTGTAGTATTACTCTAAACTCTCTGGTGTAGATCTTTCCTACAGAAGATCAGGGGTGTGGCTGAAAGACATCAGTAAGAAGGAGCCAAGGAGTAGCAGTAGAAAGGCTGCAGAAAGAGTAGAAGCCCAGAGGAGGGGGCAAAGGAGGTGAGGCGGTGGGGCAGAAAGTGGAGAAGAAAACAGAAGACAGAGCTGGAAAGGACGTGAAGTGAGACAATTTTAGAGAAGAAAATTTTCCGTCGCTACCCGGATCCGAGCCCGGGACCTTTGAATGAGAGGCAAACACCTTAACCTCTAGGCAAC